CCATAGTATTTAACTGAGGTGTACCTAACGTGGGCTATTTTAAAGAGGTGGGACTCCACACACCAAAAACTCCCCAGCCAGCATGGCTGGCTGGGGAATTCTGGGAGTTGAAGTCCACACGTCTTAAAATGGCCCAGGTTGAGAAACACTGATTTAAACTAAAAAGATTTAAGGGTGTGTGGGGTTGGGCTTGTGTCACGGGCAGAGAAGGATTTGCACAAGCAAGGATGCAACACTCAGATCAGGACTGAAAATGTTTGTCATCCCCTCCGGTTCATTGCAAAAATTGAGGCTCTGGTTTATTCAAATTATTAGGAAAAAATCACAGGCTGGCTCCCCAGATGTTGATGAATGACAGCGGCCACCCGTTGGGTTGCCTTTACAGTTTTATTCCTGGTGTTATTTATTGATGTTGTGATTTGGTTGAATATTTTCCAGGCATTGGGATTGTTGTACTGTCGATATTATTTTGTGGGTTGTATTGTCACCATCCAACAACATCTGCCTATCCTTGGGAAGGGCTTGATAGGTGAATAAAAATGCCAAACCCAGTCTAAACATCTGGCTAATAATAATAATAATAATAATAATAATAATAATAATAATAATAATAGTTGTTGTTGCTGCTGCTGCTGCTGCTGCTGCTGCTGCTGCTAGGAATTGTTTTTCAGCACATCTGCAGGGTCAGTTTCCCCAACCTTGGAGATGCTGATTTGTTTTTAAGAGAGCTGGAAACAGCTGAAGACCCTGTTTTGCTCCTTCTTGAAAAACACATGCCTTCCCCCCCCTTTTCTGCCTATAACCCAACGGGCTTCATGGGTTTTAGAAGCAAAAACATTGCCCAACCTGTTTAACAAATCTGCAACAAAGAATCCTTCTGCTCTGTTTCCATCCAGCTCCTAAACCCCTAATGCGCATTTATAGAAACGCACTATCACTCCCACACCAACAGAGACTTTTTAATCTCCTTAAAATCCAACCGGACGAGCTTCTAATGCAGTCAGAGCATAAGCTGATTAGAAGCCTCTAATTAATTTTGTGGCTTTATAGGAAGGAAGGAAGGAA